ACTAATGTCCTTCAGGGAAGGAAATATGTCCTCCTTACCTGGTCTGGCCTTCATGTGACTCCAGACCTATGTCAATGTGATTGACTCTTAAATGCCCACTCTAAGGGCCAAGCAAACCATTCAGTTTAAGATGGCAACACGCTGTGACCTTCTCAGTAGCATTTAGGGATGGGTAATAAATCCTGGCCTACTCGGGGGGTGTCCACATCATATAAAAAGTGTAAATCTTCAGATTGCAACTCCAGTTTCTTGCTGAAATTATTATAGGCAGCATTTGTTCACCAAAGTGTTCCAGCCATTGTCCTTTGTTAAAGATCAAATGCAAGCTGCCAGCGGATGCAACATTTTCCTTCACGGCTACTGTGCTGAGAATTCATTTTCTTGTTTTACTTCAGATTAGATAGCTGTATTTGGTAATATCTCTGTGGAAACTACAGGGCCATCTATAACTGTAACAGACGTGGATATGCCAATATACCCTGTGGCATATTGATGACTGTCAAATCATATCGTATTTTTAATTTTTAGGGGAAATGGCTATAAGCTTTTTTTGGACGGGGCAACTGATGACACTTTTTGATCAAACTTCTGTTTAGGTCTCAAACTTGAGACTTAAACCAAATCTACAGTTCTGTTCAGAGGTACAAGACATTACTTTTAGAGCAGAAATCCCTTCTGATCTGTGTAACAATTGACTCTTTGTTGATGCATAATCTTGAATAAAAGGATGGCTTGTGCAGATGTATAATTCCAGTGGGCTTTGTCTTGTGCCAGTTGTAACAAACAACTCTACAGACAGCCAAGGGAATTGTTTTCCTTTGCCATCTACCCATGGTGATAGAAAGACAAGCAGCATCATATCATTTGCTATCCTAACTGCTGCAGTTGAAAATTCATGCTTCTGCACCTGACTTGGATAGAATCTGAGAAAAATTGAGTCTGTTTGAGCGGTGGCTAACAACATCGCGATGAAGTTCTTTCCGTCAAAGTTCTTAGAAAATGTTGTCTTTAAATATTGAAGCGTCTGCTTCAGATGTGAGAGTTAGCCTGAGGGTTCTTTCAAATACTGCGTTACTGGCAGTTCCAGTGTCATGGTGTTGTGCTGCATGTTGTTCAATTTTCCTGTACATGGAGGTCTCCATGTGCGGGTTCTGAAGCAGGAAGGCTTCCAAGCAGCATTGAAATTTGGAAAGATCGGTCCAACAATATTATGAAGCCCAACCATTGTTAGCCGCAATATTTATGCCACTTCATCTTCGCTTATTGCCACTTATCATTGGACATCAGCTTGCATGGCTTTCATTCATGCTACCTCATAAATGTATGTCAATTTTAGGCAAACTTAATAATTCCAATCTTTTCTCCAACTATTCCCTAATGCATGCTCAAAATTGAGCCTGGTGCTACTAGCAGCTATCTGAGTAGCTGGAGTTTGAGGTGATTGTTTGGTTTCTTCCTCCACCAGGCTCTTAGGACTAGGTTAACCCATTGTAAGTTGGTTTTCTAATTTTGTTCTCGGGAATGTGGGCATTGCCTGCTGGATCAGCATTTTTGCCTATCTCTAATTGCCCTAGAGATGGTGATGAACTATCTTTTTGATCTGCAGTCATTTGGTTGTGGGAGCACTCAGTGCTGATAGGAACAGAGCTCCAGAATTTTGAAGGAATGATGATCCTAAGCCAGGACATTGTGTTAACACAGTGTGGTGCTGCAGGAACAGAGGAGGTCAGGGCAGCATCAGAGGAGTAGGAAAGTCGACATTTTGGGTCGGGACTCTTCTTCAGAACTGACTCCGCCACCTGCAGTTCTTGGCTTCTTCAGGATGCTGTGTGACTTGGAAAGGAATTCCGCCTCGCAAGTGGTGGTGTTCCCATGCAACAGCCATTGTCTATCTAGGTGGTAAAATGCTGTTGAAAGAGATTTGGTCAGTTCCATCTCTTATGCTGCTGGCAGGCAAGATTGACTCTGACTCTGGTTGATTTTTGGGACATAAAGTTATGCTACAGCTGGTGTGAGGGCAGTAATATGTTTAACGTTGCAAGACTCCATTTTAGCTCCACGTTAGTACCTCGAATTGATTGGTGCATGATTTTGCTCCAGTTGGATTAGGGAAGCCATGAGGGTTTGTAATCTGGCTATCAGGCCTATTGGCATTAGGCCAGATAACACTGTTCTTTGAGTGGCAATCTGAATGCTCAACAGAACTGAGCACAGTGACTAAAGCCTTCTGCAGGAGATCTGCCACATGCTCCGGTGAACTCTAATACTCCAACATTTTACGGTCTTGCAAAAGCAGGAAACGGGCTCTTCCAGGTGTCCTGCCATCTTCAAATTCTAGTCCAAGATTGAGGTATCAAATATATCTTTCACCATCAACATAATCTCTCCAAATAAACAGACATAGACATATACGTCTGTTTATACCTATAAATTAGAGTTGAAATCGTAATGCTAAGAATTGTGATGCCGCATAATTATGTGGTTTGATGGATAAGACTATTTTAACACAGTGACCTCATGGTTTATATGCTAATGGTAACTTGCTTTCAGATAGCATTTTTAATATTCTAAGTGACCCTGAATCAGGGTAGAGTTAGAGAAGCAGTTATCAAACAAGCCTGAAAGCCTGGCCAGAGAGCCTGGAGAATTAATAATGGCAAGTAGGGAGTTGGCAAACGATTGAACTAGTAATTTCTACAGGTCTTTACTATAGCGGATTCAAGTAACGTCATGGAAAAAGCTATAAATCAGGAAATGGAAAGGAGGAAAGAACTCGGGTTGGTCACCAAAGAAGGGGCATTGAGCAAATTGTTGGAGCTGTGGATTGACATAGGTCCTCTTGGGCTCCAACCTAGAGTCTTAAAAGAAGTGCTTAGTGAGATAGAGAGATAGTAGGAACTGCAGATGCTGGAGAATCTGAAATAACAAGGTGTAGAGCTGGATGAACACAGCAGGCCGAGGAGCAGGAAGGCTGACAAGAAGGGTCCAGACCCGAAATGTCAGCTTTCCTGCTCCTCTGATGCTGCTTGGCCTGCTGTGTTCATCCAGCTGTACACCTTGTTATCTTTGCTTAGTGAGATAGTTGATGCACCTTTAATTTTCCAAAATTTCCTAGATTCAGGGAATATTGCATTACAATGGAATATATAGAATATAGCTCCTTTATTCAAAAAGGGAAAAAGTTACAAATCAGGAAACAACAGGTCAGTTAGCTTAACATCTGTAGTAGGGAAGATGTTTGAAGCTATTATTAAAGAAGCTATATCAGGGCACACAGAAGTTTGAGGTAATCAGGCAAAGTAAGTGTGGTTGTGTAAGAGGAAAATTATGTTTAGCCAATTTGTAGGTGCACCGGAGGTTAAGGATTGATTATGATTGCGGAAGTGAGCGAGCCTGTGGAAGGAGTTGAACATCAGAATGTTGATTATAAGTTTTTTGTGCTAGATTTTGCGCGATCACATTGCAGGCTGTGACTGGCCATAAGAAATAGAAACAGGAGTTGGCCGTTCATCCCCCTTGAGACTGCTCTGCCATTCATCGGATCATGACTGATCCGACATTCCTCGTGTCCACTTTACTGCCCTCTCCCTGTAACCTTTCATTTAGCCTACTGATGAATCTATCTATCTCAGTCCATAAATATGCAAGGACTCTTTTTCCCCCAAAGCACTCCGTGGCAAGGATTTCCAAAGGCACTCAACCTTCGGAGATGGGGAATTTCTTCCCTGTCTTAAATTGGTGCCCCTTTATTCTGTGACTGTCCTCTGGTCCTAGACTGTCCCGTGAGGGGGAGCGGTCTCTCGGCATTTACGCTGTCAAGCCCCTTAAGAATTCTATACGTTTCAATGAGATCACCTTCTTCCAAACTCCAGTTATTTGGATCCAAACCTGTTTAGCCTTTCCGTGTAAGAAAATCCCATACCAGAGATCATCCTAGTGAACCTTCTCTGAATTGTTTACAATGAAATAATATCTTTCCTTAAATAAGGGGACTAAAACTGCTCACAGTACTCCAGATGTGATCTTACCAGCACCTTATACAGATGCAAGAAAAGGAATGATTTCAGCAAGTGGTATGAATGTGGAGGGGGTTGATCATACTTAGTCTCTTGTTCAGAAGTTGTGACTTACCAAAAGTTGATATTGGTAGAGTTGAGAACAATGGTGATTCAGACTGGAATTACATGTGGAGAGGGGTTATTAGCCAGGACAAAACAAATAGGAAAATTGAAATCTTGTTAGTCACTAATGGGCGTTTGCAGTATTACCGAGTGGATTGTGATTTTGGCATTTTCCTTAAGGGAGAAGTAAATTTCAAACTCAGGTTGGTGTTGTCTTGTATCTTTGTCACTTGGTTTCTTTTAAATTTTAACATCTCTGTCCAAATTGGATCTCCTCTGGACAAAAAGGTTCAAAACAATTAATGTCAGTTCAGTGAAGAAGGTAGCTCGATTGGAAATGCAGATTTTTTTTTTCTTTATTGTTTAATGGGATGTGGGTGTCACTGTGAAGGGTAGCAATTGTTGCCTAACCCTGACTGCTCTGGAACTAAATCACTTGCAAGGCCTATTTCAGAGAGCAGTGGATTTGAGTCACCTATGGACTGTACCAGTAAGGATGACAGATTTGCCTCCTTGAAGGAAGCTAGTGGACCAGATGGATTTTCACAATACTCAAATGATTGTTATCATTACCATAACTGAAACTAGCTTGCAATTCCAGATTTATTAACTAATCTTATATTCTACAAGCTGCTCTAGTGGGATTTGAACTTGTCGCTAGTGTGTTATACTGACATTTTGGATTATTGGTCCAGTGAAAGAGCAACAAAGCCACCAATGCCCCATTTTTAACAGATTTGTTTTATACAGTAGCCATCAGTGTTAACTTAAAAGGAAATTCCTTTTAGTTTAAATTGTAATGTGAAAAGAAACGTGCTTTTTAGGATGCAATACTTTCATATCGAGTATCTTTCTTTCTTTCTTTCTTTCTTTTCTTAGAGCATAATGAAAGTTTTTAACATCCTGCCAAACTCTACACATGCAGATGGAAACTGCAGCAGTGATCGTGCCTCTCTCCAGTTGACCGATGACCCGACTAAGCTGATTTTTGTGTTTGTTGTGGTGAGTGAAGGATGTTCTATTAAACATGCAGGTTGTGCAAATTCCATTGTGTTTCATTTAGGTCTTAGGTAGCTTTAATACAAAGGCTATTCCCTTGTTTGATTTTTCTCCCATCTCCCCGCTGCTTGTAGGTATTGATAGCTATATATGTTGAGTGACATGGGTGATGTCATATTTGGATGTGTTGCCTTTGAATGTTCTACATGTGAACATAAAGTGAGCATTACTAAATATTGTCATTTGGGAGGCAATGAAGCTCAGGCCCTCCTTGACTTCAACAGATTCTGGAACCTCACATGGATTTGTTAGTTAACAATCAGCCATGAACAATTTTTAGCCTAGCATGAGGTTTCTGGTACGGTCCTAGATCCCTTCTGCACTCTTTACTAACTCAGCTCAGATTGGAGAAACTATACAGGACCATTTAGCTTGCTCTTAGCTGAATAAACTCTAGTTTTGGTAACGTTGTATAAAAGGTAGCAAGGGCCAAATAATTGGTCAATCTGATTTCAGTGATGGAAAATCGTTAGAATCAATTCCACAAGCTGCCATGTTGAAAGGTATACATTTATCATGGATAGTACCGTTTTGTTAAGGAAAGGCCATATCTTATTTACTGAATTATTTAAAGAAGTAACATGGAGGATTGAGGCTGGTGCTGTGGTTATTAGTGAAGCATGTGACAAGGTTTTATTTCAAAGAGAGGTAAGAAAAGTAACAATCCATGAGATTCTGGGGAAAATGGTGCATTGAATTCAAACTTGGTTCAGCGCTTGAAATGAGGGGTAATGCTTAGTGAATGTTTTTGCAAATGGACAGCAGTTTTCAGTGATGTCTGACAGGTTGAAATGTTGCGTCTCTTGTTTGTTGTATACATTTAATGATTTGGAATTAAATGTGGGAGGCATGATTTGGGAAGTTTGTTGATGACACAAAACTTGCTTATTTAATGATTAATCATGTAGTTGAGTGGGTAGAAAAGTGACAGCTGGAATTCAATACAGAGAAATGAGTGGTTGCGTTTTGGGGCTGGTAAACAGAACAAGGAAGTACACATTAAATGGGAGGATTTTGACATGGGTAGAGAAAGTAGGGAACCTTGGAGTTTATTGCGGCAGGTTCTTGAATGTGGTGGGGTGGGTAGATAAGTTTGTTTTGAAAGATACGCGTGAGAATGCTGGAATGAGCTGTAAAATACGAAGGCTAGGTTTGGATTTTATTGTCACTTTACTCAACCACAGGAATACATCGCAAAGTGCCCAATGTCGCCCCACAGCACCATCTTGGGTACAAAAATGCCTAGGTAAAGAAAACTCGGGTACTAAGTAGTAAAAGAAACACAGTTAAGCATTACAGACCTCAGTAGAATAAGTAGAAAAATAAAGAAAGTAATAATTAACATTAAATTCCTTCTTAACATAAGCTAGAAAAATAAAGGAATAAACTTAAATATTCAACAGTCTTTGAGTGCTTGCTGGGGGCTCAATCTCCTTGGTTTAGCTCGCTCTTCAGAAGACCTCAGCTGCCTGTTCTTGCCACGGCCACAGATACTGGGGGATCTCCTCTGCTCGCTCTTCCTGTGTCTGGCTGTGATGCCATCACTGCTACTGCCACCAATGTCCTGCTGTCACAGTCTCCGATCACTAGGTGCACATTGGGCCCTGCTGTCACAGTCGGAGGCCAGACCAAGAGACTTTCATGGGCTGCTGAAAAACTTCCAGACCATGCTAGGAGGGCGCCTTGCTGAGTCTGCACTGAGGCCAGGAGGAGAAAGAAGAAAAGAAACACAAGAAAAAAGAGAAATAAACAGACTTAAGTGGATGTGCTTTGGCTGAAACGTCCTACTCCGCTGCCATCTTGAAGTAGGGGTAGGTATAACTAAATGCTGGAAATGTGTGAAACTCTGATTCAGCCACAACTGGAATTTCATGTGCGGTTCCGGTTACCACATTCAAGAAAGGACATCATTACTGTGGATAGAGAACAGAGGAAATTTACAAGAATGTTAGCAGGACTTAAAATTGGAGGAATTAGATACACCTAAGGTTATTTCCACAAGGCTGAGGGGTGGCTTAATTGAGGTGCACTAAATTGGGGAATCTGTATAGAGTAGAAAGGAAAGTACCTGAGAAGAGATTAATTATTAGAGGATACGGACTTCAGGTTGAAGGATTAGAGAGGATATATGGAGAAACTCATTTACTCAGGGCAGTGGGTGTGTGAAATTGAGTAAAATAAAACGAAGAACTGTGGATGATGGAGGTCTGAAACAAACAAAAACAAATTGCTGGAAAAACTCAGCAGGTCTGGCAGTATTTATAAGAAAAAAGAGCTTGCATTTCAAGTCCAGTATTCTAAAGAGCACCTCTGACTCCGTGATTGTAATCTAGTTTGTACTGATGTTATTCACTTAATCTGATTTTCGTGTTTTAATGTTCTGTTATGTAAAGACTTGCTGACCTTATTGTTGTTTGCTCCAATGTCTTTTCAAATGTTATCTAATGTTTTTTAAAGAACTAGCTGTCTGTTGCTCTGTTGTGTTATTATTCACCCTATGATGTGAAATCTGTTATCTTTTTGTTCAGAATACTACTACCAACAAGTTTTACCTAAAGGAGCTTTCCATTTCCACAAGAATTCCATCTACTGCTCAAGGTAAGCTTCAGCATTTTAAAAATGCATCTTGGTACATTTAAAATGTTGGGTAATTGAGGGAAATTATTCTGATCAATGAAAATCTACATAATTTGGATTTGAACCATTCAATCTTCTAGTTCTTCATTTAAACATTAGTGAAGATATTTATTAAAGAGGACTTTGACTTAATGCACCTGAAATTAATAAAAAATTTTCATTGTCACTGCATTTCAGACATAGAAAAATGTTCTAGACAGTATTCCTTGGACAGCTCATGTGGTTTGACTGCTGAATCTGAGATCCTGAAGTTTAGCAGCGTGTGGAGGAATTCATTAATGCAGAAAGGGGTCTTGACTTTGGCAAAATTAAGGAATATAATGTCTAGTTTGGATTACTTGTGTCTGTCAGCAAGGAGAAGAGTACAAGGCCATTTACCTGTCTACTGTGCTTTCCCCTCGTTCTTGGTCTTGTGTGTCACTCCATGAAAATGTGTCTGCACACTAGAACTCTACTGTTTATTCTGTATCAATTCCCTCGCACGCCCACCTCCCTCGTGCGTAAATGCTGTTTTGCACTTCTCAGAGGTTATCGAGTAATTATGAATTACCATATACTTTAAAGATACAGTTCAGTGAATGAAATGGGAAGCTGGGTGGTGTCCACAGTAAATTGGGCTAGAGTAACGTGATATATTTTGGGAGGTGTGGATGTATGTAGAGGAAAAGCAGTGTATCATCAATGAAAAGATGCTAAGTGTGACTCGAGCACTTTCAAGTGCATAACTTTTTTTATAAATGAAGGCATAGATTACATGTGAAGGGAATGATAATTAAATGTGTATAAAATATTGGTTATACAATCCAACCTGCCGACAGTATTGGATAATTAGAGGTAGAAATGATCTAACATTTGGTTGACCCTCTTAAAAATTTATGAAGAGCTTGGTAGTTGAGGGGAAATGACCACTTCCTATGGTTGAGTTACTAGTAAATTGAAGGCTGTTGAACTGTATGTAACAGCAACTGTATGTATGAAAAGATTTATCTGCAGTAAGAAATCTTCATTTTGAAATCAGCTGTTTTACCATGAGTTGATATTCCAATTTGCTTAACTTTTTGACTTTGATCTGAATTGACACTATTTGAGTTTCTTAATCCAAGATTATAATTTGTCTGCTGCAAGGATAAAAATAACATTAATCTAGTAGATGTAGCACTGAGATAGTAATCTAAAAATTGAGTTCTGAATCCCACCTAATTCATTTGTAATAAATCTCTGGTGAAATGTTGATTAGCACCAGAAGAAAAGTCATGAATTTTTAAGGGTTTTCAATTTTAAAATCCAAACCAAATTCACTATTCGCACGCATTTTGATCTATATATTTCTTCAGCATAACTTACAATGCCTAACTGCTAACGTCCTCAGGGTGCCTGTCTAGAAATGTGGCTTGACTTACAAAAACCGTTGTTCCTTGCATCAGACATTTTACCATTCCCCTCTTGTCTCAAGAAAAGTTAATATTAATAACTGGAATACTGTTTACTCTTGAAAGATGTTGCATTTATTTTACTCCATTCCTGGACATTGCAACAACCTGAATTTTGTTCTTCCATCTCCTTTTGTTTTTTCACATTTAGGAAAGGAGATTACTGCTAAAAATGACAGTCTTACCTACCTACAGACAACCTTAGGCAAATCTTATATGTGTCATTCTGAACAAACACTGCAGGTGAACCCAAACCTCTCCATCAATACATTTGAGCTCCACATTCAGCCATTCAGAGTAAATGATGCAAAGTATGGAACTGGTAAGTTAACAATTTTAAAATGTTAATATTTTGATAAGTGATTACTGCATCATTTGAACAGAAGCACGGTTTTTGTAAATGGTGTGTAGGTTGCTTTGTTTCTTTCCCTTTGCCACTTCAGTTCTGCCTATTTCTAGACATGGTGATAAAGTGACTGTCCATCTCCCAGATTTGTGTTTTGCTTGTACATACCATGTTACCTTACAAAGATTTGATGTTAGCTTAATAACTGAGAACTTTCTATAATAAAGTTATCTGTACTGCTTTAATTAGTATAGTCTGTAGGAGTGAAAGGTGCATTGATCATGGAGGTGAGTGCATGTGTTTTAACAAAGGTACTTAGCCATTCAAAGTATGCATTCTGGGTCGTGACAGTTCTGAAAGTAACTTTAAGCAATGAATTTTTAAATCCTCTTTTTTTTGTGTTTTGAACAGCTGAAGAATGCCAAATGGATAAAGATGACATGTTGATCCCAATCATTGTTGGTGCTGCTCTTGCTGGCCTTGTGCTGATTGTGTTGATTGCTTATCTGATTGGAAGGAAGAGGAGCCATGCTGGATACCAAACCATCTAACCTCACGTAGATTTAGCTATTCCACTTCTGTAACTAATTCTTTTTCAAAGAAATGCACACACATTCTCTCTGGAATCTTGGGCATGGACCTGTGTTAAAGGGAGTTAAGAGAAAAAAGTTTACTGACAAACAGAATCCTCTGCCTGACAACTTGCTTCTAACATTATATTTTTAACCATATATGGTGAAATATTTCCCACAGCACGCAGCCGCCACCACCCCTAGACCTTGAGATAAAGAGTATACCATTGGAAATACATCATAATGTCTAACTCTGGGGTCTGTGACCCATTTGGGGAATAAATACAGGTTGTTCAATGCAAACCGAAACCGAAGTCATACCCAATTAGCCAATGCAGTGTCGCACACAATTCAAGTTGAGAGGAAGTGGCAACTGTGTGCCAACTTTGCACATTTATGTTCAAAGTTGTTCATATACCAAGAGCAGGTGCACTGTAGGTAATGTAGAGGGGCTGGGTTTATTTACATTGAGTGTAGCCAACCAGGAGAGACCAGTTTTTTTTGTCAGAGGTTGTAATACTAAATGCAAGAGTTCTTTGGGGAAAAGAACTGTTTGTGAGTAAATTAGTAATATTTCACACTTCTGTTGTGTAACCGAGTGTTAATTCCTGCTTTACAGAAATAATTGTGTGTTGTGCTAAAGTGACTTTTTTTTTTTGGCTAATTACATTTAACTTTTAGGGGTGTGTGTATGTATACTCAAACGTGTGCCTGTAAATTAGGCTATTTGAAAATTATGCCCCCATTCCTACTCCAAACAAAATTATAAACAAATTACAATGGCTGGGGTATTGCTAGATTTTAATTTGGATTTGAGTTTTGTTTTAATCATTGGAATGCTACCTTTAGGAAAGGGCTTGTCATCCTCCTTGGCATTGTGGAGGAAAAACACATTGGTTTAGATTGTGTTGCAGTGTTTGGCCTTTTTGAAATACAAAAGCACAACATTGCTCTTGCTTTGCTCACGTGTCACTGCTGTTCACAGTTCACACAGTGATTGTATGGATATAAAGCAAAGTGCCATTGGGTGTGAGCAGTTTTTTTTTCCTGTATAAATCAGTGTTAAGTCTGAGACAGCTTCAATAATTACTGATAGATTTTAAGAAACCAGCTGAATGTGGATCAAGTCCAAGGATCAAACTAGTTCAAGTGCTAGTCATCTCAATATGTGTTCTGTGCACTTTGATCCATAAACTTGAAAGAGGATGTTGGTTGAACTGAACATTACCCTAGCATACTTAGCACCCACTGTTCTCCCCAATACAGTTAATATATGTATAGTTTAAACTTGGTTTAACTTGATGGCCACCTGTTTCAAACCTGGTTCCTGATATTTAGTTTCTTTTTCTGGGTTATATTTTAAACTTGATTTTATGCTTTTGAGTGATCTCTTTTGGGTGCTCTGCAAATGATTAGGAGCTGGCACTCTGTTCTCTTCTCCCCTTTTTTTTAAATCAATTAAACTGTGTGCATTTTTGTGACTGCACTTTTTCAGGCATGTCTACCGTATAAAGAAATTTAAGCCTGCCAATCGTGCTTAAGAGCTTATTTTGGACTGTTAACTGAAGATTTGGCACATGAGGTGTATGCATTGCCTATAACCGTGCTAATAAAGGATTTGTTTCTCAAAGGGCTATGTGCTAGTTTCCCTTCTTCTGTTAAAGGCATTTGGCCAGCTCTCTCAATTGGATAACAAAGGGAATCTTAATTCTGTCGCACAATCACTTACCAAGTGTTGATCATTTGTTATAGAAAAAGTCTACTTCTAAGTTGCATCTGGTTGGTAGAGTCTTTGTATTGGAAGGAAGAGGCAAATATTCTTGACCATGTAACTGCACCAAGTCTGAAGGTATGCTTGTATGATTTTCTGCAGCATATTTAAGGCCTTTTTGTTCTACAAGAAATGATTTCATCAGCATTGCAGTTTGCTCAGTTTTTACATGACTTGCTTGATTTAAACTATTTGCACTCAGTTCCATTCCTTTTTGTATTTTGAGTTTCTTTTTGTTTCTGTAATCTAGTTTGATGTTGGAAATGAAAAATTTCCTGACTTGTACTTGTGCACCAATAAAATTATTTCTATTCTGTCTGCCAAACATGTTTTTAAGTTTACATTTGTCTGAGATGAAGAATTCTCTCTCTTATTTTAATATCACCAAGCTTTTGAACGTCTGTCCATATTTTATGGCTTGGTGTCAAATTTTGTTCAGTTAAAGCTCCTGTGAAATGTCCTGGTACAGTTTGCAATGTTAAATGTGGGATATAAGTGAATGTTGTTTTATAATGTCACACTGCGGTCCTGCTACTCTGCTTTGCAGATTGACCAAAATTTAACAAATTGCACACTGGAATTGTGTAATCCTGTTCTGCTCCTTGTGCTCTAATATTTTTTCTGTTTGCTTGCCAGCAGTTTTTATTCTGTGACATAAGTGCAAATCATGGTCCCCAGGGTATTGGGGAATTTAGCTCTCTTCCAGTGCTGAGACAGTTAATACAAAAGTTAAAGAAGGAGAATCTTAGAACAGTTGAATTAGAGGCAGGTACGCAAAATTGTTGATCTGATCACTATAACGCTCCACTGTTTTTCAAATGTTTGTATTGTCTCCTATAAGCCTTAAATTGTACTGATGTTACTACTTTTGTCTGCATTTGATGTAGGTGCACATCAAAACAAAGGTTTAAGTTAAAATCTAAGAGCTTTGGGTCATTATTGTTAACTGTCTTGACACAGTCTGTTTGATCACAGGTTTCGGCTGTGGGTCTAACCGACCAGGTGATTCTCAACCCACAGATCTTTGGCCACGTGGGGCAGGATGTCCTGTGAGGTAGTGGTTTCAGAGTTTTTTTTAAATGAATTTTAGTAGCTGAACTGGTTGATGTACTGTGGTGGAAGACAGAGTTTTGTTTTGACTTTAATGAATGGCTTTTATTGCCATTTCACAGTGTAAGGTACTGTATAACTGGTTTGCCTAATGCATTAGTACTGAAAAATTTTAAATTCCACTGACCACCTACATATTGGTGAAGCACATCATTGCATACTGTCAGCAGCTCAGAAATTAACCAATTAATCCATGTTGGTTTTCTGCTCAGTACAAACCTCCAGCCTTCATCTAACTCTAATCAACATAACCTGTTTATTTCTCCTTCATGTTTATGTAGCTTCCCCTTAAAGACTAATGGCATTGTATAAGGTCCTGGATGGTACATGGATCCTGTCAATAAACGTTTTGTTAAAATAAAAATATGTAGTACTCGGGCATACAGCCTATTTTCCAAATAACATTCATTACATGGGCAAACTGGTCACTGCAGCATTGGACTATTGGGAAAGTACTTTCAGTTAATTTTCATTCATCTACAAGGAGTTTGTGCTTTTAGTGAAGGTCTTGCATGGTCCCTGTCCAGCCAAGCACATTTGCCACACCACAAAGCAGCCAGTGAGAAAGTGAGAGGAAGGTACAGCCCCCCCTTCCACCACCACCACTCCCCCGCTATCATCCTATCTGTGCGCACACATTCCGTGGCAATGAAATTTTTGTTTCCTCTTTTTCAAGTAATCAAGAATATTCTGATTGCTTAGTATGTTTCCTAAAACTTCTCCCTCGGGCAATGGAAATGTTCTGGCATCTTCTTGACTTTTGAGTGTTCTCTGCTATTGTAACCTCATGGCTCCCATGTTGAAACTTAGAGTTCACCCAGTAGCAATGTATCGAAAAAGATGAAAGGGTCTGGTGTAACTAGTATATTTGATTAACCCCTTTTGTATTACGACCCTGTGGAGATAAAAGCCCAGCACTCTCTCATCTCCTTTCTGTAATTGTCCAATTGTGACTAAACTGGTTTGCCTCATGCTGTTGTGTAGAAGTCTAGTGTTGCTTTGGAATATAGTCCAGAATTACGTAGAGAACACAAATAGGACCGTCTGCCCCAAGGATCCATGTTCTATGTGAGTTGCCTCCCATCCCTCCTCTTCAAATGCCAGTAGCATGGCCTATTCTGCCTTGCATATTTGACAGCATAGACAAAGGCCATTCAATCCATTGTGTCTGTAGCTTTAGAAAAAAGAGCCATGCAGTTGAATCCCACTTTTTCCAGCTCTAGGTCTGTACACTGTAAGTTATGGCACTGCATGTTTCTTTATATATGATGTTTTATCATACTGTTTTCTTCCAAGCCTCTAGCAGATACCAACAAAATAAGTTTTTTTTTCTTCTCTCTGCCAATTACTTGTCCATGCCCCCTGGTTATACTCCCCATACTTTATAAAGTGAATAGAAAGGGACTGCATAAGCCTCTTTGCTGTAGTTTTTATCAACTGTTCCATGTTATAGAAAGTTCTACATTCTAACCACCCTTTTAAAGGAGTTTCTTCTGACTTCTTCATTTGATTAATTAGTGCCTGCCCTTTCTCAATGGCCCCTACTTTTGGCTCACACAATGGAACATTTCTATCTGTATCCAATTAAACCTTTACATGGGTGGCGTAGTGGCTCAGTGGTTAGCACGGCTGCCTCACAGCACCAGCATCCTGGGTTTGATTCCAGCCTCTCTGACTATCTGTGTGGAGTTTGCACATTCTCCCCATGTTTGTGTGGGTTTCCTCCCACAGTCCAAACACGTGCAGGTTAGGTGGTTTGGCTGTGCTAAATTGCTCATAGTGTCCAGAGATGTGCAGGTTAGGTGGATTAGCCATGGGAAATGCAGGGTTACAGGGATAGGATGGGAGATGGGTGAGGGTGTGATGCTGAATGGGCCAACTGGCTTGCTTACACACGGTAGGGATTCTGATTCTATAATAATTTTTGATGTCTGTCAGGTGGAACTTCAGGTCGTCTTAAAAGAAAATTGTTCCAAACTGCTTAATTCTTCCTGACGGTTATAACTACGCAGTTCCTGTGTCATTTTGGCAAATATTTGTTTTATGCCTTGCCTAGTGACTTTGCGTAGAGCTATGCATAGTATTCTGTGAGATGTAACGTAGGTTTTACACAATTATAACCATACAAGATGTGGAATTGTGACAGTAGTAGTGTTACTATGAAAATTGTTAGGATTTGAATTTGATTATTAATCTAGAATGAAAAGCTGGCCTCAATAATAGTAACTTATGAAGCTACCAAATTTTTGCTTTAAAAAGAACAGCATTCACTAGTGTCCTTCAGAGAAGAGAACCTGTCATCCTTATCTGGTCTGGCTACATGTGACTCCAAACCCCATATAATTGACTCCAGTCTGTCCTCTGAAATGGCCTTGCGAGTTATTTGATTGTATTGAGCTGCTACAGAAAAGTTGAAAAGGAATAAAGTAGGATTGAGCGAGGCACATGTGAAGGAACTGAAATAATGGTCACGTTTCAGTTATGTGGCAGTAGTGAACTCTGAAAATATTTCCATCTGTCACCACAAAGTCTGAGCTGAGAATCTTTTTATCTATGTGGACCAGTGGTTTCTGCAGTCTGTCCAGGCTGTATTAATTTGAAAAATCACCATGTGCAAATAGTCCATGCAAAATAGTTTTTATTGAATGTCAGAAGTACTTTAACACATTCTTTTCTGTCTTCCATCAAAATACAAAAGATTTACATTGCTCTAGCTTTCACTATCTTCTCATTGCTATGTTTGATTTTTGTTACCCTTCCCATTGCAACAAGTTAATAATTTTCACCATAAAAAGGGGAAATAATTGATACAAGTATTAAGTTAAATCCATGCAGCTTCAACATTGCCCTTTGAGCACATGGAATGACCTTGCATTACACCATATAACAAGCTACCATCAATTGGTTTCAGTAATGTGGTTATCCTGATTATTACTACAATTCTTTACTCCGACCGCCAACTGTAGTCCCACGAAGACTGAGCTCATTCATCTCTGGAGGACAGAGCCTCACTAGACAAGTGGGAGATAATGACAGCAGGGTTGTTTCTCTACCCAGAATTCAATCCCCAAACCTGTAAATTTACAGGATACAAATGAGGAATGTCATCGATCTGTTTAATTATTCACCTTGCAAGACTGCTGCCAGTGGGTTTAGGAACAATCTCTGCCTAAGCAGTTCTTAAAGTGAAACAATGTGTGTGTGTGTGTGTATAAAAACAAAATCTTCCTTGACTCCTAATTTAAAAATTTATCCACTTTAAATCCAAATTGAGGCTATTGATTAAACGTCCTTCCAGTTGAAGCTGATATTTTAAACTGTCTATTGAAATTTTAGTAGGCTATTTACCTGCAAAGCTTTTCTGTTTTTGAAATGCTTGGATGATAATCTAAGTTTTTGTTTTTAAATTTATTCTCACATGGGATGTGCACATCACTGGCAAGGCCAACATTTGTTGCCCATCCCTAATTGTCCTGGAACTGAGAGACTTGTTCAGAGACCTATTTCAGAGTGTGCTTAGGAGTCAACCATATCACTGTGGCACTGGAGTCGCACGTCAGCCAGACCAGGGAAGGATGGCATATTTCCTTCCCCTGAAGAAAATTAGTGAACCAAATAGGTTTTTATGACAGCCGAAAGAACTGCAGATGCTGTAAATCAGGAACAAAACCAGAAGTTTCTGGAAAAGCTCAGCAGGTCTGGCAGCATCTGTGAAGAAGAAAACTCAGTTAATATTTTGGGTCTGGTGACCCTTCCTCAGTACTGTTCTGAGGAAGGGTCACCGGACCAGAAAAGTTACCTCTGATGTTTTTTTCTTCATAGATGCTGCTAGACCTGCTGAGCTTTTCCAGAAACTTCTGGTTTTGTTCTGGGTTTTTATGACAACTGATGATTGATTGATTGAATGAATTTAAATTTCATGAGCTAGCATGGTAGGTTCTGAACCTTGTCCCGTTAGCCTAGACCTGTGGATTGCTCGTCCAGTAATACTGGCACTACGCCATTATCTTTATCAGCTATTCCCTATTAAAACAGGCTGACAACCACCCCCATCAGGCCTTCTGGTGCAATCCCATTGTCACATTCTTGGGAATGATCTGAATATTTTGTAAAGCAGGTAGAGACCTAAAGGCTCCTAGGTCCTTCATCCACATAGGGAATTCTGGAATGGCATAATGTTGGCAGACCCTATTACTGCGCAACTTCAGTATGGCTTTTGCCATCTGCTAACCATGTTGGGAACTCCCGTAAAGGAGTACACCAATTTTCAGGTTGAGAGAGGGACATGCAGTGGAGTTAGGAGTTGCACCATTAATGGTTGAATAAAGCTTTCAGTAACTGGCGGTAGCCCCAATTAGAGGAAATGGAGCGGGTGACAGAGGATTCAAGTTGGGATTGTTATTGAAGAGGAAGGATCATTGTTTTTTTTCCAAGAGAGTACATTTCAGAGTGGTCCCCTCAAAGTGAGAAGTGGGCTTAATCAGTGTCAAGACTGTCTCAGTTGGTCCTAACAACCTGGGCTGGGCTGGAGTCAAACTCTGAATCTGCCATCCCTCCAACTGGGAAAAGGAGGTTGTCGCTGATGACGGATCCCCTTCTAAAATCACAGCTGAGGTGGTGGAATTAGGCTGGGATAAAGGGGATAAACTGCAGATGTGAAAAAACAGGAAATGACCAATAGACAGAGGGATTACCAGATGAGGGAATTCGCAACCGTCATAATTGCTGTGATAGTAGCTTGTGATTTTTATTTCCCAGCAATTCGTGATTGGCCCAGATGTCCTGTAGTTAGCTTGGCCTAATGCTAGGATCTGACAGTCTCTCAATGTCCCAAGCAGTGTTTGAGGCTCACTACAGTACTTACAGATGTTGGGTTTTCAACGGTATGCTTCATCTTACACCTTATCCATGCTACTCCTTAAAATATGGAGCCTGCAACAATTTATTTCCTTGTTTAAGAAATAGAACAGACTCCTGATTTGGAGGGAGGCATTTCCAGAATTGATCCTCTCCTTAAATCATTTGGTAATCCACCACTAACCCCCCACACGTTGAGCTCATCAAACACACCAGTCTCAATCATCTCCTCTTGCCATGGGATAGGGATGTTGCCAGTTGCAAATTCATCAAAAAACTCTCTGTCTGCATCTTCAATGGTAATTCCTTTCACAGTTGAGAAAGCGCCAACATCTTGAATGTCCTTTGCATACACTGTTTTAGAGTCTGGGGTAAAAGGAGGTGGAAGTATACCTAGAAGGGACCATAGAAAATGTAATCAGTGAGCAGCATTAATACATAACCGTTTTCTGTTGCACAACCCTAGTTTCTTTTGTAAGTATTTGGACTCTTAAGGTTTTGGAGTAGATTTGTAGCTCGGTTTGTGGATGTTGTGCTGGTTGGCTCGCCAAGCTGGTTCATTGTTGTTCCGCAGATGTTTCATTACCCTGCTGGGTAACATCATCAGTGCAGCCTCCGATGGAGCACCGTTGTGTTTTCCCGCCTGGTTTTTAAACTGGAGTCCGTTGAGCTGGATTACCTCACTTCCGGTTTTCCTTTGCAATTGAGTGTGTATGGGGTCGAGTTCTGTGTGTTTGTTGATGGCTTTCTTCGTGGAGTACCAGGCTTCTAGATCCTGGGACAAGCAAAGCCGAGACAGGCACGGGAGTTCCTAGAAGCCTGGTACTCCACGAAGAAAGCCATCAACAAACACACAGAACTTGACCACATATACAATCCATTGCAAAGGAAAACCGGAAGTGAGGTAATCCAGCTCAATGGACTCCAGAGTTTAAAAACCAGGTGGGATAACACAACGGCGCTCCATCGGAGGCTGCACTGATGATGTTACCTAGCAGGGTAATGAAATGTTTGCTGAACAACAACAAACCAGCTCGGCAAGCCAACCGACCACAAGTATTTAGACTGAAAATCCTGTGCACCTCTGAGCCGTACAAGTGCTTTTGCATTAGACCTACAGCCCATAGACTCACTAAAGATTCCAAAGCTGTACTGAAAAAAGAACCGGGAATTCTTCCAGATTTCTGGTCCACTGCTCCTCAATCAACCACGCCACCAAAGGAAATTATTTAACTTGCTTCACGGTAGCTTGGTGTGTAAAATGTGGCTGTTGGGTTTTCTTATTCAGTCATTGAATGTAGACAGTGCTGGCTGGGCTAGCATTTATTACCCATCTCCATTTGCCATCAAGAGTGTGGTGGTGAGCTGCCTTTGAAATCCTGTAAGTAGAATCATGATGCCATTTGGGAGAGAGTTCCAGAATTTTGACCCAATGACATTAAAGGAATGGTGATATATTTCCAAGTCCGGGTTGGGAGTGGCTTGGAGGAGAGCTTGCAGTTGGTGTGTGCCCCTGAATCTGCTGCCCTTGTTCTTCTGAATGCAGTGGCTGTGATTTGGACGGTGCTATCTAAGGTTTGTATACGTAACAAATTATACTTAAAGGAATTTGTGAGTTACTTGAAACATTCCTCCGATGTTATATGAATAAAACATTTTATATTTCCCTTACACACAAGTACATTGTATTTGTATATATTTTTAAGAATGTTATTAAACTACTTGAATCAAACAAAAATGGCAGCAAATGTTCTTTGGTTTTTTTTATGATTTCAGGTGGGATTTTTTCCTGTCAGCATTTCTCTTTCAACCCAACTATGTCAACTGTCACAATGTCCACATCTTTCTTCAGCTAGAAGATAGATGGATGGGAGAAGTTAGGCTGCTTTCCTTGGAGTAGAGAAAACTGCAAGGAGATTTGATTTGAAGTATCTTAAAAATTACAAGAAGTGTGGATGTAGTAGAGTTAAACTGTTTCCACTGTAGAATGGTTGAAAACCACTGGGCACGGATTTAAGGTAATTAGGAAAAGAAACAATAGTGACTTAAGGAAAAACCTTCATGCGGTGAGTAGCTTTAAACAGCAACTTTCCTTACTGCACCTCTGTGTGGCTACCCTAAGTTTTTTAGTGTGCCCCTCTGCACCTATTCCTGGACCTTTGGAATGTTCTAGTCTACAACATTCAATTAAGGATGGCTGTTTACACTGGAAGACCAGCAAGTTGTGGGCAGACCAACATGCACCTTTCATTTGAGTAGATGCTCCTCGAAATGCGTTGGCTTTTGTGTTGTTTTTCTCTAGGAACAGCTCATAGATCCGAGTCCTGCATCAGAAAACAAAGACTACTGCAACTCTCTCCAGACCTTCTTTGTGAAGGCACATTCCAGAAAGCAATGTGCAACAATTGGGAGGTGCAGAGATTCTGGGTGTTCATGAAAGACCTGATGGGTAGTGCCCTTCACACCACCAGCCAAGCTATATCTGGGTGCTTCTTTGGAAGTGAGGTATTCTGCCAAATTGGGTTTGTAAGTTTGATCAGGGAACCAAACAACAGAATTAACCATCTCCTTTCCTGCAGGGCTTTGAGGATGTAATGCTGACCGTTGTTTGATGGACATGTGGTTTTTCTGTACTAACCTCTGCACAAAGGACACGAGCTGCGGTTAGGGCATTCAACAGCACTTAGGCTACACCCATCCTTCATAACTTCCATAGTGTGGCAGAGGCAGGTTGAAACAAGGCTGTCAAAGTCCATCATTATGTGAAATAGAGGAATGTGCAGGAGTCTGGCCAAGAAAAGATAAGAAATAGGAACAGGAGTAGGTTATTTGGCCCCCAAGCCTGCTCTGCCATACAACAGGATCGTGGCTGGCCCAATCCTCCTCACTTCCACTTTCCTGCCCTTGATTCTAGTACTGATCAAGACTTTTTCTATGTCAACCTAAAATATAAACAAGGACAATGCTCCTATAGCTCTGTGGCAAGGAGTTAGAGACTCTCAACCCTCTGAAAGAAGAAATTCTTCCTCCTCTCAGTCTTAAATTGACATCCCCTTAATTCTGAGACAATACTCTGGTTGTAGATTCTCCCATGAGGGGGAACATCCTGTAAGCCCTTAACAATCCAAAATGTTTCAATGACTATTCATTACGTTTAGAAGAACAAGGTAATCCTTCCATAGTAGGGATCATGTTCGTGGACCTTCTCTTTACCTCCAGTGAAATAATTTCTTGAATAAGGGGACCAAAGCCGCTTTCATATGTGGTCTCACCAGCACTTTGCGCAGTTGCAGTGAGACCTCCTGACTGTTATATGCTGACCCCCTTTGAAATAAAGGCCAGCATTCCATTGGCCTTCTTGATTACATGCTGCAAATTTCTGCAGTTCATCATCATCATCATCATCATCATCATCATCATCACAGCCCTTCGGTCCAACAAGTCCACACCGCCCCTCATGGCATCCCACCCACACCCATCTCTCATAACCCACCTAATCTACACACCCCTGGATAGCCAATCCACATAACCTGCACATCTTTGGACCGTGAGAGGAAACCCACGCAGACAGTTACTCGAGGGTGGAATTGACCCCAGTTCCCTGGCGCTGTGAGGCAGCAGTGCTAACCTCTGAACCACCGTGCTGCCATGCTTGTTTTATATCTTCATTTAAAAGAAAATTGGTCATTTGTTCACCCTTCCAAAATAAACAACTTTACAATTTTCCACATTTATACTCCATTTGCCAACTTTTTTGCCCACTTACTTAATCTCTCAATATAGTGTTTGTACCGCTCTCGCAACCTGCCATTCCACCTATTTTTGTGTCCTCAGCAAGTTTAGCTGCAACACGTTTGCTTCCTTCCATTACATCATGAATATATTTTGTAAACAGTTGCCATCCCAGCACTGATCCCTGTGGAACCTCACTGGTCACAGGGTGCCAACCTGAAAAGAACCTCTTATCCCTACTTGCTGTTTCCTGCTCATTAGCCAATTCTCTTCCACCAAGGGTTCCAAGTTGAATGGCCTCCTGTTCTGTAACCATTCAATGACTGTAATTACAAACTCTAGACACAAGATGGCTTTGTTCTGTTGTTTTATTCTGCCAGTGTAATCAGTTTTTGCAACAACATGACATTAGCTGATGGAAACTGTGGCAGTGGACCAGCAATGGTAAAATAAATACTGATGCTAACTTATCCTAACAAGTTAGATTACTGTTTTTCCTTTTCAGTAAATTTTACTAAAATATTGTAAGGCATTGTCAACATTCCCTAACACTAGACTGTGTAAACCATCTTCTATTTTATTTGGAGGTTGGAGATTGGTTATATCAGCAGGGATGCCATGTACAAACCCTGGATAGGAGGTGAAAAGTATAACCTCTGTCACCCTCATCCTGATGGCTACCTTTATGTCTGATTGTATCAAGCTGTGTATAGGTGCACCTAACAGCAAATTTTACTATGTGCCAAGGTTGTATCCGTAGGGCAGTATGAAAGATGGGTGCAGCTGTATTACTGCTGAATGCCTCAACGGTACCTCCTATCCTTTGTGCAGAAGTTAGTACAGGAAAACTACATGAGCCACATGTCCATCAAGCAGTGGTCAGCGTTACGTCCTCAAAGCCCTGCGGGAAAGGAGATGGTTAATCCTGTTGGTTGGTTCCCTGAGCAGACTTCCAAACCAATTTGGCAGAATGCCTCACTTCCAAAGAAGCACCTAGATATAGCTTGGCTGGTGGTGTGAAGGGCACTACCCATCAGATCTTTCATGAAGACCTGGAGTCTCTGTGCCTCCCAAATGTCGCACATCGCTTGCTGTGCCTTCACAAAGAAGGTCTGGAGAGAGTTGCAGTGGTCTCTTTTTTTTTTTCTGTGACACAGGACTCTGTGCTAAAAGCTGTTCCTAGAGAAACACAAGACAAAAGCCAACACACCTGGAGTAGCATCAACTCAATGAAAGGTGCACGTTGGCTGCCAAAACCTGCTGGTCTACCAGTGTAAAGAGCCATCCTTGACTGAATATTGTAGACTAGAACATTCCAAGGTCCGGGAATACGTGCTGAGGGGTGTATTAAAACTTGGGGTAGGCACACAGAGGTACAGTAAGGAAACGTTGCTATCCAAAGTTTCTCAGTCATAGTGTACCAAAGAACTGGTAGATTATAGAACCGCCCTCAGGCTATATGCTTAATACTGAATTAGATTGAGGCATCAACGTGATCAGTGGAGAACAGTTGTATTTAGCTGCATTTTACATAACATGCACTTCGAAACATCTTGTGAAATACTTTTAGATATTTTATGAATAAAATATATTTTTACAAACAAAAAATATGCTGTAAACCCACAGCAATGTGGCTAACTCTGAAATATCCATCAAGGCACTGAATTCTAATAAATCCAATGGAGTACATTGGCTGACCTAAGCATAGAACACGAATAAAACACAAACAGCCCTTTGACTCCTCATTGACAGGTTCCATAGCTCAGAAACTTGACACAGCAAAATAGTCGTAATATTTTATCTAAGATAACCCACAAACTTTTGGAAACATCTTACAGTGACCTGGTACTTCCAAAACCCAAACTATGTTGCTGCACGCAAGCATACATTCTTGACATCTTTGTCCTACCTTTGTTCTGAATGGTGCTGTTAATCTCAATTTATATAGTTATACAGCATAGAAACAAACCTCTCAGTCCAATTAGTCTATGCTAAACATGTTCCCAAGCTAAACTAATCCCACCTGTCTGCATTTGGCCCATATCCCTCTAAAGCTTTCCTATTCATGTACTTATCCAAATGTTTTTTAAACGTTGTAACTGTACCTGCATCCACCACTTCATTCATCACATGAACCACCCTCGGCAACGGTTGCCCCTATTTTTAAACCTTTCTCTTCTCACCTTAAAATATGCCCTGTAGTTTTGAACTCCCCTATCTTTGGGAAAGACCTTTGCTATTCACCTTATCTTTGCCCGTCATGATTTTACAGACTTCTGAGGTCACCCCTCAACTTCCTATGATCTGGTGAAAAAAGTCTCAGCCTATTTTTATAACTCAAACCCTCCATTCCCAGCAACATCCTGATAAATCTTTTCTGAACCCTCAAAAGTTTAATAATATTCTTCCTGTAACTGGACAACCAGAACTGCACACAATACTGCAGAAGAGGCCTTGCCAACATCCTATACAACCTCAACAGGAATCTTAGAGCCACCAATGAGTTTTGAAAAAGAAATTTTACTACCAAAGGTATTCAATCATACCTGTGTTCTTATTAAGAAAGCATGAATTTTATCCTCAGTTAATTCGTAAAGGACTGCTATTGATGTAGGAACAGAATTTGAAATATTCTGACATCCACAAGATGGATTCCACAAGACAGAGCAAATTTTTTTAAAAATCGATTTTTATACTTTACCAGCTTCAAGTTTTCTCCAGTTGATACTCTTGAAGAAGGCATGGGCCTTTATTTCATCACAACATTCATTCTTGAATCCAAGGCGCTTTTCAGGATCTTTCTCCAGCAAAGCCTCACAGAACAACTTGCTTGGTTCACTAAACTTGTTGCAGTAAGTCACTGGGTCATTCAAAATCCGCCGTTTCACCTCTTTGTTCTCAACCTGGTGACAGCACACAAAGGTCAAAACGAATGTACAGTACAGTTCATTGTGCCTGTCTTGACTCTTGATAGAGCAACCGACAGTTCCCAGCCCTGTTCTCCTTAACCATTGTCCTGTAATCTTTTATCCTTCAAATATTTGTCATACACTCTTTTGAAGGCTATAATCTATTCTACTTACCCAAACCTTTGAGGCAGATCATAACAATGTGCTGTGTTAAAAGCTAAGGTCTCTCATGTTACCTCATCAATCATCTCAAAACTGTGTCTTCTGGTTGCTGAACTGACATTGGAAAGATTTAGTGTATTATTTTCTCTATCAAAACCATTCAAGACCTCAAACCTTCCCCTAAAACCAGGGGATCAGCCCCAGTTTCTTCAGTTCCTCACAATAACTGAAGTGCCCTCGTATTGTTCAGCACTCACCAAGATTTTGGCATCCTTATTATAAGTGGTGTCCAGAATTGAAAACAATATTCCCAATGAGGTTTTAGGAATATCCAGAATTACTCCCTTGTCTTTGTATTCTCTTCCTATTTTCTTATCATCTTGTGACTGTATGGTGAATTTTACTAATATGAGGTTTCTGCTCACCAGCGTTTCTGTGTTATAGGGTTTCTGTGTAATAGAGTTTATGTGAAATATGTTTCTTTAGTGTTGCAGTTAACAATCTGAATGAACCTTTCAAACACAAAGTCATGACAGAGATTGTCTTCAACTGGAATGCACATTGGTACACTGTGTCTCCTGGCTCACCATGTCATTTACTTGCCAAGAGAGAACTCCTCACTGAGATGATAAAACTCGACTGAACTTATTCCAAATGCAGATGCTTGCCATCATATATTCTGTGGCATAGACGTGAAATTAGGGTTCTGTGTTTATTGTTTCTTCAATCAGGCTTTGGCCCCTACCATTTCAATCAAAAGAAATATACGATCATCATCAGCAAAGTGATGGAAATGGTTAATCATGGTGCTATCAAGCAGCTCTTGCTCAGCAATAACCTGCTCAGTGATGCCCAGTCCAGGTTCCTCAGGGCCACTCAGCTCCTAATCTCAATATAACCTTGGTTCAACCTTGGACAAAAGAGCTGAATTCCAGAGGCGAGGTGTGAGTGTCAGCCCATGACATCAAGGCTGCATTCGACCAAATGAGGCATCAAGAAGCCCTAGTAATACTTGCATCAATGGAAATCTGGGTAAACTCTCTGCTAGTTGGAGTCAGCCCTGGCACATGGGGATATGGTCACAGGTCAAATATCTTGGACTTGGAACATCTCTGTAGGAAACTGTCCCAAGCCCAATCATATTCAGCTGTTTCATCAATCAACTTTCCTCCATCATAAGGTCAGAAGTGGGGATGTTCGCTGATAACTACACAATTCGTAAGTCTTCAGATACAGAAGCAGTCTGTACCCCTATGCAACAAGTCCTAAACAATGTCCAGGCATTCACACCACACAAATGCTAGACAATAACCATTTCCAACAAGAGAGAATCTAACTATCTCCTCTTGACATTCACTAGTGTCACGGTTACTAAATTCCCACTATCAACATCTTGTGGTTTCCATTAACAGAAACTGAATTGGACTAATCTGGACCAGTCACATGAATACAGTGGCTACAAGAGCAGGTTAGAGGCAAAGAATCCTGTGGTGAATAATTCACCTTCTGACTCTATAAAGCCTGTCCACCGTCTACAAGGCATAAATCAGGAGAGTCATGGAATACTCCCCACTTTCTAGATAAGTACAACTCCAATAAAACAGAAGAAGTTTGACACCGTCCAGAAAAAAGCAACCTGCTTGATTGGCACCATATCCACAAGCATCCATTCCCTCCACCACCAATGCTCAACGGCAGCAGTGTATACCATCTGAAGAAATTTACCAAAGATCCTTAAGACAGTACTTTCAAAAACCACTCAAACCAGAAGGACAAGAATAGCAGATACATGCAAACACCACCTGCATGTTCACCCCTCCCCTCCCCTAAGCCACTCACCATCCTGACTTGGAAATGTATCATCATTCCTTCAGTATCATTGAGTCAAAATCCTGGAACTCCCTTCATAGCTGCTTGCTGAATGCAGTGGATTAAAGAGGGAGCTCACCACCATCAAGGCAGTTTGAGACGACCAATAAATGTTTGTCTTGCCAGTAATGTCCAAAGAACAAAGAAAATTACAGCACAGGAACAGGCCCTTCGGCCCTCCAAGCCTGCGCCAATCCAGATCCTCTATCTAAACCTGTTGCCTATTTTCCAAGGATCTGTAAATCTGCTCCCTGCCTATTCATGTATCTGTCTAGATACATCTTAAATAACACTATTGTACCCGCTTCTACCACCTCCGCTGGCAACGCGTTCCAGGCACCCACCACCCTCTGCATAAAGAACTTTCCATGCATATCTCCCTTAAACTTTTCCCCTCTCACCTTGAAATCATGACCCCTAGTAATTGAGACCCCACTCTGGGAAAAAGCTTCTTGCTATCCACCCTGCCTATACCTCTCATGATTTTGTAGACCTCAGTCAGGTCCCCCCTCAACCTCCGTCTTTCTAACATAAATAATCCTAATCTACTCAACCTCTCTTCATAGTTAGCACCCTCCATACCAGGCAACATGCTGGTGAACCTCCTCTGCACCCTCTCCAAAGCATCCACATCCTTTTGGTAATGTGGCGACCAGAACTGTACGCAGTATTCCAAATGTGGTCGAACCAAAGTCCTATACAACTGTAACATGACCTGCCAACTCTTGTACTCAATACCCCGTCCGATGAATGAAAGCATGCCGTATGCCTTCTTGACCACTCTATCAACCTGTGTTGCCACCTTCAGGGTACAATGGACCTGAACATCTGGATCTATCTGTGCATCAATTTTCCCCAGGGCTTTTCCATTTACCGTATAGTTCGCTTTTGAATTGGATCTTCCAAAGTGCATCACCTCGCATTTGCCTGGATTGAACTCCATCTGCCATTTCTCTGCACTCTCCAATCTATCTATATTCTGCTGCATTCTCCGACAGTCCCCTTCACTATCTGCTACTCCACCAATCTTAGTGTCATCTGCAAACTAGCTAATCAGACCATCTATACCTTCCTCCAGATCATTTATGTATATCACAAACAACAGTGGTCCCAACATGGATCCCTGTGGAACACCACTGGTCACAGTTCTCCATTTTGAGAAACTCCCTTCCCCTACAACTCTCTGTCTCCTGTTGCCAGCCAGTTCTCTATCCATCTAGCTAGTACACCCTGGACTCCATGCGACTTCACTTTCTCCATCAGCCTACCATGGGGAACCTTATCAAATGCCTTACTGAAGTCCATGTATATGACATCTACAGCCCTTCCCTCATCTATCAACTTTGTCACTTCCTCAAAGAATTCTATCAAGTTTGTAAGACATGACGTTGCCTGCACAAAACCATGCTGCCTATCACTAATAAGCCCATTTTCTTCCAAATGTAAATAGATCCTATCCCTCAGTATATTCTCCAGCAGCTTCCCCACCACTGACGTCAGGCTCACCGGTCTGTAATTACCTGGATTATCCTTGCTACCCTTCTTAAACAAGGGGACAACATTAGCGATTCTCCAGTCCTCCGGGACCTCACCCATGCTCAAGGATGCTGCAAAGATATCTGTTAAGGCCCCAGCTATTTCCTCTCTTGCTTCCCTCAGTAACCTGGGATAGATCCCATCCGGACCTGGGGACTTGTCCACCCTAATGCCTTTTAGAATACCCAACACATCCCCCCTCCTTATGCCGACTTGACCTAGAGTAATCAAACATCTATCCCTAACCTCAATACCCGTCATGTCCCTCTCCTCAGTGAATACCGATGCAACGTACTCATTAAGAATCTCACTCATTTTCTCTGACTCCTCACATTAACTTCCCTCCTTTGTCCTTGAGTGGGCCAACCCTTTCTCTAGTTACCCTCTTGCTCCTTATGTACGAATAAAAGGCTTTGGGATTCTCCTTAACCCTGTTTGCTAAAGATATTTCATGACCCCTTTTGGCCCTCTTAATTCCTCGTTTCAGATTGGTCCTACTTTCCCGATATTCTTCCAAAGCTTCGTCTGTTTTCAGTCGCCTAGACCTTACGTATGCTTCCTTTTTCCTCTTTGCTAGTCACACAATTTCACCTGTCATCCATGGTTCCCTAATCTTGCCCTTTCTATCCCTCATTTTCACAGGGACATGTCTGTCCTGCACTCTAATCAACCTCTCTTTAAAAGCCTCCCACATATCAAATGTGGATTTACCCTCAAACAGCTGCTCCCAAACCACATTCCCCAGCTCCTGCTGAATTCTGCTACAGTTGGCCTTCCCCCAGTTTGGCACTCTTCCTTTAGGACCACTATCGGCTTTGTCCATGAGTATTCTAAAACCTACGGAATTGTGATCACTATTCCCAAAGTAATCCCCTACTGAAACTTCAACCACCTAGCCGGGCTCATTCCCCAACACCAGGTCCAGTATGGCCCCTTCCTGAGTTGGACTATTTACATACTGCTCTAGAAAACCCTCCTGGATGCTCCTTACAAATTCTGCTCCATCTAAACCCCTAACACTAAGTGAATCTCAGTCAATGTTGGGAAAATTAAAATCTCCCATCACCACCACCCTGTTGCTCCTACATCTTTCCATAATCTGTCTGCATATTGTACCTCTATTTCACACTAGCTGTTGGGAGGCCTGTAGTACAGCCCCAACATAGTTCTGCACCCTTCCTATTTCTGAGCTCTGCCCATATTGCCTCACTGCTCCAGTCCTCCACAGTGCCCTCCTTCAGAACAGCTGTGATATCCTCTTTGACCAGTAATGCAACTCCTCCACCCCTTTTACCTCCCTCTCTATCCCGCCTGGAGCATCTATATCCTGGGATATTTAGTTGCCAATCTTGCCCTTCCCTCAACCAAGTCCTAGTAATAGCAATAACACTTCCCTGACCAAATGAATAAACTAAATCTTAGGCTGTCCTCTTCCAGTACTTTTTTGAGTGTGTTTTGCACTGTCAGAGGCACTACTTTTCAGGAGAATGTCACACCAAGACTGCGCAAGTAAGAATAAAACATCCTGCATGGCATTGTTGAAAGAAGGAGCATGAGTATCCTCTGAATGTCCTGAGGAATATATATCCCACACTAACTGACAGATGGGATGTTCCCTCTTATACGCTCTGCTTACTCTGTAACAAATCATCACAATTTCGGAATGGAAATCCAAACACGCCTATGATTCACTACTGCTGTATCTCATGGACTTTATTCAAAAAGTCCATGTGGTGAACAGTTTGAACTCAAGGTTTCTAGTTTCTTGATGACTGCATTCCTGATACAACTGATTCACTAAGGAATATCTTAAAATCTCCTTACTTGTTCCCCTCGATACCGGAATGGACCCTTGGCTGCGATCATCTCATACAATGTGACTCCCAGTGTGAAATAGTCGACAGAATAATCATATTCCAAACCTTTAAGCAACTCTGGTGCCATAAAACCTGAAATTTCCAACAAGTTGCATTGTTACCCTTTGCCAATGCTGAAATTCTGAACCAAAGACAGAAAACCCCAGAGACTCGAACAACTCTGCCTATCCCCACCCCTCCACTTCATACCAAACAGTTCAGCACCCTCAAGCCCATCCCACACCTTAACACCCACTTACACTGACCCCCATTCTCCCCCACTCACTCCCATATCAATAGATGTAGATGTGCATGTCTCCATCGCTTCTCTAACTCAGAGCCATCTCCTTGTACCTTTTGCTGACCCCCTTTCCCTCCAAACCGTACTCCTCCACAGTCCTTCTCTTCCCCTTTTCTCCTTCATGCTCTCCTATTCTCTCCTTCTTCCTCACCTTCTCCTCCTCCTGCCTTTCACCCTCTCTTTCTAGCTCTCTTCCCCCTCCATAACTCTCCCCTCCCTCTTTCTCTCCCCCCTCCCTTCCCTCCCTCCTCCTCTCGAGCCTCTCTTCACTTCCCCTTCCCGCCCTACATCTCTCCTCTTCCCCTTCTCTCTCCACCTCTCTATCTCTTTCTGTCCCCTTCATCCTCTCTCTCCTTGTTTGACTCCCTCCTTTCTCCTTCCTCCCCCTTTCCCTTCTCTTTCATCATCCTCCCTCCTCTCTCTCTCTTTCTCTCTCTGCCTCTTCCTGCTTCCTTTGCCTCTCCCTCCTCACTCTCTCTCCTCCTGCTCTCCCTATCCTTCCACCTCTCCATCTGGTTCCCCTGCTTTCACTTCACCTCATCCCCCTTCAGAGAGAAATTATAGGATGTACCTGGAGTTCCAGCATAGCCTTTGATCTTAGTTTGATCATCATCCAATTCCAAAGCGAGTCCTAGATCAGAGATTCTCACATGACCTGAAACATGACCGGTTACAACAGTACTGTCAAAAAAAACAGCCAAATTTTCTCACCGATTATAAGATACATTTCTCTACGTCCTGGGATCATTACATTATTACAATAAGAGTTTGGAAAGTTGTTTTCAGGTCTGTTCAGACTGTGCAGATAGCTAGGTGACTGGTAATCTGCTCAATGCAGATTGAACTAAAGTGTCCATTTCTGCCCTGTCTCAGCTAAGCTACTGCTGAAATACTCACCCCTGCCTTTGCCACCTCTAGACCTGATGTGCTTACATGGGTTTGTCAAGACATCCAAATGTTCCTTCAACAGCTATTCATTAACAATATAAACATGATGATGCTGCAGTAGCCATCTCTGCCTTAAGCTCATCTCGAATCCCTGCCTTTGTTCCCTCAAGACTTGATTATTCCAATGTAGTCCTGGCTGGACTCCTCCATTCTATCCTGTCTAACTTGAAATCATCTGAAATTCTACTGTCCACGATATAACGCAAACCAAATCCTTTTCACTGTCATCCCCTGTGCTTACCAACCTGCATTGGCACTTGGTCAAGCAAAGTCTTGATTTTAAAATTCTCATATTTGATTTTGAACCCCTGACTGTCCCTACCTCTATACCCACCTCAAGCCCCTGAATCTTCCATACCTACTGCAGCTTGTTGCTCCTCCTGCCAGGCGATCTGCTGTCATGGTGTGATCTGGGGCATCCTCACACATTCACTGGCATTCATCTGTAATCACTCTGCCAACATCGATTACCCAAATACAGCCCCTCTTACTGCTGCCCCCCACCTCCCCACAACTCTGCCCTCTTGATAAGCTCTGATCAAATGGCTGAAATGCTGACATTTTCTTTACTGGATGTCACTCTTAGATCTACAAATTCAAGATCCTCTTGTCTTAACTTATTTAAGAGCTAATTCCAGTTTCTTGTACATCACTAATTTTAATCCCTCTACAATTTGTGGCTGTGCTTTCAGTAGCCTGGGCCCCAAGCTTTGGAAATTGTAGCCCACACCTCTCTGCCTCACTACCTCGCTATATCTTCTTCCTACTATAAAACTCTCCTTAACCTGCCTCTTTGACCAAGCTCTTAATTATTACCTAAATATCTCTTTATGTGCCTCAGCTGAATTGTTTGACAATGCTCTGATGAAGTGCCCCATTTGGTGTGGTGGCTCTTACTTGGCTAAAGTGGGGCATCAATGTCCTTCTGTCTCCAGAGAGGCTTCAATGTCCTCAAATCTGAGCTGTGTCCTTGGAGGGGCATGGTAGAGATTTGGGCGTCTGTATTTTGGACATTTGGTGTGTGCTTGAATGATGAGGTCAGAGCTGGGATTGGTGGAGACTGTTGGCGTATCTGACAGTCATAAAAAAGGACCAGACTCTTCCTTTGGCCTTTGTCCCTGGAACCTATTTTCGCTCCTTTGTATGCTGGGCAGTTGACCCTCAGGAGAGATGTGCCCACACTTCCTTCATCATGTTGGGTATCCGTAGGGCTTTGGATGCCTAATAAATGAGTTCTACACAACCAAATATCACAAGAGCAGCCTCCCCTCTAATAGGGGCCAGTGTGGGGATTTGCAGATCCTCCCAGTCACAGCTGAGCTGATTCTCATGTGTCGGGATCTATTCAAAAAGGTGGTGCTGCTAGGTTGGTCAATGGTGTTGGTGCCCATGGCCAAATTCAACACATTCACCAGGTTGACTGATACCCTAAAAGACTTAGGTTGGTGGCAGGCAGGGAGAAAATGATCAGGAACCCGGGCCACTCCAGTCTGGGGCATGAGTGGCTACACCAACCCTCACCCTTAACCTTAATCCTGAATCCCCACCCTCAGCCACAACCCACAACACCCACCCTCAACATCTGCCCTCAACCACAACCCTCAGCCTCTACCCTCAACCTCCATCTTAAACCTCCACCCTCAACCCCCATCCTCAATCCCAACCCTCAACTTCCACCCTCAACCCACACCCTCAACCTCCATCCTCAACCCCATCCTCAATCCCAACCCTCAATCCCTAACTTCAACCTGCATTCTCAACCCCTACCCTCAACAACTACCCACAATTGCCACACTCAACCTCCACCCTCAACCCACACCCACGAATCCCACCCTCAATTTAACCCTCAAACTCCATCCCTCAGAGCTATAAACCCCTGCCTGCAACTTCACATCCAACTACCCACCTTCAAACCCATCATCCCTTTTCCCTCAGTCCCCAGTCCTATTGCCCTCTTATCCCCTCACCCTCAGTCCCCAATCTGCTCTCCCTCCAAACCTCTCACCTTCCAATCACCTCAATTTCCAATCCCCTCACTCTTAGTCCCCAATCTGCTCACCCTCTGATCCCCTTACCCTCCAACCCTCACCTTCAGTCACTGTTCCTTCACCCTCCAATCCAATGCAAAGCTGGAGTCGAGAAAAGTAAAGAGGATGTAAGTGTAGTCACCAGGCTTGTCCGCAGCCTTGCTGGAGAAACTGGAATCAGGGGACACAGTTTCAGAATAAGATGGAGATGAAGGGGAATATACTCTCTCAGAAGGTCATTAACTTTGGAATTCTCATCCCCAGAGAGCAGTGGGAGGCTGGTCATTGACTATATCCAGAATTGAGTTACACAAGGTTTGATTGCTAAGCGAGTCAAGAGTTATGGTGGAGGGGGAGGAGGGTAGCGACAGGTAGATGATCTTGAGGCCACAATTGGATCATCCCTGATTTTATCGGATAGTGGACCAGGCTTGATGGGCAGAATGGACTACACCTGCTCCTCATTCTTGTTATATTTTGTGGTAATTGTAACTGTGCTGAGCTGAATCACTCCTCCACAGTGACACTCATTGCATGTGGACTCAAACTTCAAGCACACTGTCCAGTTATATCAAATGTGACATGGCAGGGCACAATCAGAAAACTAGAGCAGCTACACACCCCTGAGAGACTCCTTCTGATTCAAACAGAACAACGCCCCCCACTCTCCAAACCTAACCATCCCCCTTCACTCAACTCCCACAGCTCACCCTCATTGTCGAGTAGCACATTCTCTGGTTTCAGGTCCCGGTAGATGATCCTGGATTGGTGAAGATGTTCCATGCCACACACAATCTGAGCTGTGTAGAAACAGGCTCTTTCCTCACTAAAACCTGGATTGTTCTCATCAACATTGTAAATGTGATATCTGGAGGGAGAGGGAATGATATGAGTCTCACCATGGAGTTTAATTTGACTAAGCAATCTTCAAACACAGTGAAATGTGGGTGTCACTGACTGGGCACAAATTTATTGCCCATCAATAATTGCCCTTTGGAAGCTGGTGGCGAGCTGCCTTCTTGAATCATTGCAGTCCATGTGCTGTAGGTTGGCCGATAATGCCCTTAGGGAGGGAGTTCTAGAGTTTTGACCCACTGACAGTGAAGTCATGGCAATATATTTCCAAGTCAGAATGGTGAGTGAATTGGAACGTAATTTGCACAGGGTGCTGTCCCCATGTATCAACTGCCCTTGTCCCTCTGGATGGAAGTGGTTGTGGGTTTGGAAAGTGCTGTTGGAGGAACCTAAAATAAGACCTTCGCAAATTATACATTGTAATGAAGAAACTGAACAAATCCTTTAAAATGAAAAAATGTAACATTGGGTTAATTTTTGGAGCAACAAACTTGAAATAATGAGAAGTTATCTCAATATTACATAGAGCACGCTGAGTACTGCACATAATTCTAGACTCTGGTATTATTATGAAATGGATATTACAGTAAACGTGGGAAAACTTTACAAAGGCGAAATCAGAACTGAGATATTATCCTTATCTGAAACATTTAATAGTTTGGCAATCTTCCTCATTGACTATTGGACTAGTAATATAAATACTGTGGTCAGAGGCTGGGAATCCTGTAGTGTGTATCTCCATAAAGCCTGTCCGCCATCTACAAGGCACAAGTCAGGAGTGTGATGGAATACCCCCAACTTGTCTCGATGGGTGCAGCTCCAACAACACTCAAGAAGCTTGACACCATCCAGGACAAAGCAGCCCGCTTGATTGGCACTACATCCACAAACATCCACTCTCTCCACCACCGATGCTAGTAGCAGCAGTGTGTACTACCTATAAGATGCCCTGCAAAAATTCACCAAAGATCCTCAGATAGCATCTTTCAAAGGTGCTGGGTGAATACATTTATATCCTGTTTACTTTTTTGAACACCTGCTTTGCATTGGATTGGAGGGTCAAGGGATCAGGGACTGAGGGTGAGGGATTGGAGGGAGAGAGGTTTGGAGTGTGAGGGGATTGGGGACTGAGTGTGAGGGATTGGAGATGGACACCTTCTCAAGGGCAACTAGGGAGGGCAGTAAATGCTGGCCCAAACAATGATGCCCACATTTTCTATAAGAAGATTTTTTTAAAATCCTGCCAAGTTGTTGGATTTTTTTATTCCACTTATCAAAATGTATCTCCTTACCTCTTTTTATGAGGAAATTACCCCCAACCTGAAGTATTTTTATATCTTCTTGTATTTTGTCAGAGTCTTCCTTAAGTGTCAAAAACAAAGTTGCTGGAAAAGCTCAGTAGGTCTGGCAGCATCTGCGAAGGATAAAACAGAGTTAACGTTTCGGGTCCGGTGACCCTTCCTCAGAACTGATAGCGGCTGGGAAAACATCAGTTTATATGTAGAAAATAGGGAGGTGGGTGGGGTAGGGAGTAAACGATAGGATAGAGCCCAAAGAGAGAGAGACAGTCGGACAAAGGAGTTGCTAACGATGAGGCTGGGAGCATGAATAGTTGTTAATTGGGACTGTTAGTGACTAACAACAGGGGGTGTGTAGTGGCAGGCTATGTGGTAACAAAGCCTGGTGTGTGGGGTGGGGGGCTGGGACATGGGAGAGTTTAGGCCCTAAAATTATTGAACTCAATATTGAGTCCGGAGGGCTGTAGGGTCCCCAAGCGGAAAATGAGATGTTGTTCCTCCAGCTTGCGTTGGGCTTCACTGGAACACTGTAGCAAGCCAGAGACAGAGATGTTGGCCAGGAAGCAGGGTTTTGCATTGAAGTGGTAGGCAACAGGTAGTTCAAGGTCTGTTTTGCGAGTAGAAGTAAATGTTCTGCAAAGCTGTCGCCAAGTCTACGCTTTGTTTGCCCAATGTAGAGGAGACCACATTGTGAGCAGCGAATGCAGTAGACTACATTCTGGGAAGTGCAGGTGAAGTGTTGCTTCACCTGGAAGGTATGTTTGGGCCCTTGGATACTTGGGAGGGAGGAGGTAAATGGGCAGGTGTTGCACCTTCGCCGGTTACAG